ATGCACCTGCATCGCGCGTTGCAGCGCGGCTTATGAAAACGCAGGATGCGCATCCTCGCTCTCATCACTCATTTTGTTTGCTGGTAACGCGTGATATTAAAACGTGGCAGACTCCTGCGATCGTTACTTCGCGGATATATTACGAGCCTCTGAGATTTTCGGATCCTTTGAAAAATGGTTTAACGCCAAATTCAACGCGCGATAGTTTTTCCTTCCAAACCATTGCCTATGATTAATAAATGTTGCACTGCGCAATTGAATAATGTTACATCATTTTGCGGATGTTAAAAAATACGTAATAATTTTTATAATTATGCATACTGCAAGATATATTGCACGCATGATTCCAAAAGGGTAGTACAGCAATATATATTTCTGGAAAGGAAAACACTAAGATAACTAACACAAATAGGTAATCTTACGTAACAAAGTGGCTACAACATTTGTTGGGAATTATTGCGTATTTACTCGAATAAAGATCTCTCCAGCGACTGAGATTTTACTTGCTGTATCTTATATTTACGATTCATTAAACCGCTAAGATACACATCAGAAGGAACGTCTCATTAGACAATGCGCTCTGTAATCTAAGAAGATATAAGTTAAATCCACGGGAAGTCAGTCAGCTCTTTATCAACAACAAAAGAAATGATTTTACCGTTTTGTTAATCCGTTGATTAAACTCATTAATTTTTACCACTATATTGTAAGTGTGTAATTATCTCCGTGATTATATAATAATGAAGGTATATGGAGTCGCTACACCGGACCCGGCTGTTCCTAAATGGCTAATTTCTTCTAATGAAGTAACCTTCGCGCGCACCGACGCCAGGCTCGTAATGGCCCTCGTTGCGAGAGCGGAAGTGGCACGAGCGGAAAAAAAGCCACAAGTCTGGTCGCATAGTTAAAATTTTACGATCGCGCGTATCGTATTTACGACCGGCTAGAGCGAAGGCATGTGAATAGTCATTAAAAATATCATTTTGTACAGCGCCGTTTTAATTAATATCGGCTAAGTGAGTCGCGCGCCCGAGGTTAATTAGATTCGCCTGTGTCTATGGCGTTTTTCAAGACGCTGTCTAAATAGACTTGTCTCGGTTGTCATCGTTATCTTGTTGTCTCAAAGGTTAATTTCGCCATTTTGCTGGAAGGAGCGGCGTTGCGCGAAAGAAAATTATTACTCGTTAAAAAGAGAATACCAGTCTCAACAAATTTTATTAATTTATTACTTCGTAACGTCCGCTCGAATTCTGGAACGTTTAATTTTAGAACGGTCGAATGACACAATGTAGGCGACCTACTTTTAAAAATTTTACCATCTGCATCGCGGCCTATTTAAGAACTTTAACAGTCTCGCGCGGACGATCCCTTACGTATCTGAACTAATACGGATGGAATTAACATTTTCCTCGGCCACGAATAGCTCTCAACTTCCGTGGAACTTCCGTGAGCGGGAAGATTCAATTAGAGGGACGGGAGCGTAGAGATCTCCGTTGACGTTTCTCGCGAATGACTAATTCCTTACGAGGAAACGATCGTCCTTTTTCCCAGCCGGAGCACGCATTCCGCATCAAAGCTCGTCGGGGATAAACGAGGCCGGCCGACTGTAGCTTTTATCCTAACGGGCACAACAGGCCCCTACGCTATTCCGGGACTCTATATTCCGTGTTTCTGGGGTTGCTCATGCTGGCACACGATGCACGTGCACTTCGTCCTCGTTACATTCCGCCCGCCCACTTTCCTTACGGAATAACCCCCCTCCTTACAGGAATGGGTAACGGCATGGACGTTTCGTTCCGACGGAAGATCCTCGGGGCATTCTTATCGCGGGGAATTCGCCTCGCACAAAGCAACATACTAATTTTTTCTCTACGCCCCCCATCGCGAGCTGCGCACCGCTGTTCGTAATAATACGGTAAAATTAAAGAGGCCGCCGCGGGTTAATGGCCCCTTTTTCGTCATGGCATTAAACGCGCACATGGATGTTAGAATGGATGTTTCTTTTTCTTCTTTATCGAGCTGAATTTCTTCTACGTCGCCGCTGTTTTCTACCTATCGAGATTATCGATATGTCTTCTCTAGTAATCGATTTTCTGTAATTTCGGTGGATGAGGCATTGAGACACAGCAGTAACATTATCGCAAGATTTGTCTTATTTTCGCGATTACTTTTCAGACGTTTCACAGAGACAGCAACGAGAATTCTATGCAAATTTGAGCATCACGTAGAAGTTAGTTTCACGATGTTAACATAATATGCTGACATATTTCCAAGGTAAACAGTGTATGTAGTGCTGCAGCACCATCGCAAAATGCAACGTTGTTCTATGATTATTTTCAAAAAATAAAGCCTCTAGTACTTTTCACCTTTTATATTTTAATCTTAATTATTGTAGGAAATATTTTTATGTAACTCTTTTCATTCTAAGTTAATTAAAATGTTGATTTTTGCAATTGTCTAATATTTCGTTAATGAAAACGCATCTTGCAGTTCTTATATTAATAATGTGGATCTCTTAAATTTTTTAAGATATTTTTTAAGATATCCAAATAATCGTTAACAAGATGGATTTGTGCGCATAAATTTTCACATACTTGCGGTACGAATGTGCATTTCTGTACATACCGGATCTTAATTACGGGTTTTGGAACATGCCACGCATATTGCGGACGCCAGTGCGGCGATATGCCGCAGGCGCAGCAAAATTGCCCAAAACACTCGGAATAACTGCGGTTCTACGGAAGTCAATCGTTCTGTTAATTTATTGACGGAACTGTCAGCCGAGAGTACCTTAGAATACCAAACGAAAATCGAACTTTCCATTTCCATTACTTTCGAGAGAGTGTATGTTCGCGAACGCGAAAGGTTAGTAATAATCTAAGAGAGAAAATAATATATAAAACGACCATCATCGGTTTTAAATATACATGTTGCGGTATCGAAGCGTTTCTCGGATTTCAAAAGAAGTGTTTAAATATATCTGATCAGTTGATTTAAGTATGCACGTTTCTCGAATGTTATTGGGACTTGATAATTACTAAATTTGATCGATCGCAAATTATATATTTTTGCTGCAGTTTCATCAAGTTTATAAATTTATTTTGCTTCCGCGATGGCTGTTTTCCTTTTCCACTAAAAGGTTATCTTCATATACAATACGTTCATATTCCCTTAAAATAACAATTTTAATGGGTTTTATTGCCAAGATGTGGCATCTAAAACTGAATAAACATGATATGCAATCTGCAAAAAGAAATTTAATTTTATCGCAAACATATTGCTTGCTAAATACATTATAAAATTGAGTACTCACAGGGGATTATTATTTATTCAAGCTATATGAAAACATCAGTTTCTGTCTATAAGAGAATTCGTTGGACGCGAAGTTAAATTCGGTCAACAGATGTATGGAAATAATATTTTTCATCGGTAACACAAAAGGCAGAGAATTACGAGGAAAGTAATTTTCCGAAATGGTTTTGTCGTGCATGGTATTGTCGGGTTACTTATCCTTATAATTTCCACCCAGGTAATTAACAAGTCAGAAATTACGAACTTTGTGTGCTTTTTATTTTTAATAGATTATTTATATGTGTATGCACATGCGTACATAAAAAAAGTACAAAATAAAATTTCTTCAGAAATGCAAATTGCTGAACATTACATATTCTGTAAAATATAAATATGTAATACTTGCATAATAACTTGCGTGTAATCTGTTTAACATAAAAAAAAATTCAAAAGGGGGAGAAATATTCAAACGATATTGTCATCATTGCTTTGCATTACTTTTTTAAAAAACGATATTTGACGCGTTGGACAAAACGTTGGAAAGTTTTGCGCACGTATTTGTGCACGTAACCGCTATGTTAACCCCATTGTTTCCGCCATATAAAATACGAATGTCTCACTGTCTCTAGAGAAAATGGTGACGCGTCCTCCTTGCGGAACTACCACCTTGCAAAACATCTCTCGTCGTCGTCGTCGTTGGCGGTGACGGCGACGGCGGCGGCGGCGGTGGCGTCGCGGCACAATTTATAGAGATTAGCCCGCGAGGGGCGAGAACTTGCGAATCGTGTCGATCGAAACGGCTGCGGAACTTTTCCGTCGCACTGTTATCCTGGGAAGACATGAAAAAGTCAGGCGAGAGACACAGGAAACAGCATTGTGAGACTGGAACGACAGCGGATGCACGATAAGAGTGTCTCTCGGGTGCGATGCAACTCCGTTTTGGCGTCCTTGTTGCGCGCAAATACAAGAAAAGCTGATCGTGAAAATCGCACGAATGTTCTCTTACGCATCTCTTACACGCATATTTGGATATTTTCATATCTGTTTTAAACAATGAAGGAATTCTTATAATCTTTTTGTCAGCGGTACGTTGATCGGTATAAGTAAAAATGCAATTGCAAATTAAAAATATACCTATACAGCAAAGTAAACGTGAAAGATATTTTTCAGATTTTTATATTTTTTCTATTTTTTCTGTATTGTGCGTAAACAAATTATTTTATTTGCTAGTAACAATATTATTATATTTTTTTTCTGCTTCTACGTTCCTGTTCCTTATGATTTTAACATATTTCTTTTATTGTATCTATAGAGTCAAAATTTTGTATTTTTTTCTAAGATATTATTTAATAGATTTTAATATTAATAGATTATATTAGACAAAAGATATCTCTTGCAAACTGTGATATTTTAATTAATACAGTTATTTATTTCTCGTTTTTCCAATATATTTTTGAATAATAATTGTGACAACACATACATATACAATTTTACAATTTGTATTTATAAAATATTTATTCAGCTATTTGGAAATATTTAGTAAAATATTTGTCAAATATTTATTATAACATTTTTAAATAATGATTTAATTTATTACATATAGTTGCGCTTTAATCAAAATAAAATTTTATATATATAATACATCATAATTAATATATAACATGTATGACATAATTATTATTAACTAAAATATTTATTAATTTTTTCAGGCAACGGTATACTTCGCTACAACGGTCAAAGTTGGATACAGCGATCGGTGAGTGAATTTATTTATTATGCTTGCATTAACTATTGGTGTCATCTACTGTCTTCATTTCCTAGTATTTATTATATGATAAATGATTGTGCTTGACAAATGCATTTTTATTTGCAATTTGTATTTTTACAAGTAAATATTAAAATTATTAAAATATTAAATATTAAAATATTAAATATTAAGTATTAAAAAAAAATTATTTTCTTCTTATTTTAATTGAAAAATTGCAAATTTGACGTGCGATGAAAAAACAGTGGTTATTGCACTATTGCTTTTATAATACATGTTTTCCTCAACAATTTTCTTTTTTCTTCGGGTCTTGTTATTCAAAGGCTTTTTAAAAACAGCACGTTTCATACGAAAAAAATTTCTTTTGCACAACTAACAAAGTATTGTTATATTATATCTTTTATCTCGCTGTAATTTTGGTACAGGCTTTTTAATTATCCAAATAATTTCTAATTGAGAACTAATTATGCATACTAATTATGTATGAATAACAAATACGTACGCATTCATCAATTACGATCGTATATTAACAGCTTTGAATTTTTACGATTAAAAATGCAAGAGAGAGGCGTTATTATTATATTTGAGTGTAATCATGTTTTCACAACTTTATGACGCGCGAGCGTGATTTCCACCGCCACGAGTGTCAATTATTTATCATCATTTAGATAGCTTGTCATGTATTTTGATTAAATTCACCTAAATAATGAAAATGTTGAAACAGATTTCAAAATAATTTTACATATCCATTGCTTTCTCGGTTGCTTAAGATAAATAATAAAATTTTTAATTATTTTTACAAATCCAATCTTTATATGAAAATATGAAATAATACTCTTTTCTCTTCTTGACGGTAACTGAAACGGAAACTTTCTTGCAGCGGCAAGATAACCCATAATTATCGACTTTGCAAAGTAGACGTCTTTAGTAGCACTTATTAAATTAATGACAAGACGGCTTGTATAAAGTTCAAAATTGCATCTCTGCGTTCATCTGCATAAAATATATCAATTAATACGTAAAAATCTTACTTTGTATTTTAGTATTAAAAAGAGCATGAAATATTTATACTGCTTGCGCAATTTTACTAATACGGCGCATAAATTAATTATCACAAGAGATATTTCCGTCGCAAGATGAGAGCAATGTTACACAACTGACGCGAAATATTGCAATATGCACAGTCCGCTTATTATTGTGGATAACTAATTAACGAAGGATCGAGTAAATCAATGCATTTTACGCATCGATGTGCAACACGTGGTCTCTGTGTAGATGATCATATTGCGTCACGATGAGAACTAATTATTCTCTCCCATATCGATGATATGTAATCATGCTGCCCCCGCTGTTAATATGATATGAAGATTCTAAAGGACTGCGATGATACGTAAATACTATTTCTACGTTCATCACTGAGCGATATTAATTATTTGAAACAAAATACGATCATTCCTATATAAAAGCGTCATTATCTCAAAAAATTTCATTAATGCATAGATGCATGCTACATATGTGTTAATATGAGATTATACGATATTTGTTGATTAACATACATATATGATCGCTGAAAGTTACTTGAATCATTTTTATTATTTTTAAATTTCACCTTATTATTTACATCGTCATTTCTTGTGACTTGATCTGATTTCTTTTTTTATCTTATCTCATTATTTTTTAATATATTATAATAAATTAATCAAATTTTGATATTTTATGATATCTGAAATAGTCTTTTATATTACAATTACATTAATGTAACTATAATAATATTAGCGTTATAATCATCATTATGATATTATTAGTTTCTTAACATTATTTTTATCAAACAACAACAATAGATGCGTTGCTACATTGAATTTTGTAGTATAATTTTGAGTATAATACTGATTGATCATAGTGTGAAAGAATCGATCATAAATCGCTTTTTTTCAGCTTGACGTATGGCAAGCGATGAAAATCTTTCTATTTTCATTGTGATGTCTCTCGAGCCACTCGAGTGTTCTTTGAGAGAGCAATAGTGGCAACCGAGACAATAGATCTGTAACGTCAATATATAGGATTTCGATGAGGTATTTTGTACTCCTTCCACTTCTTCTGAACTTACTACCCCTTATTCGATGGCGCTCTCCACTCTTTTACCTCACTCTCTTTTTTTTCCTATTTTATATTGGGGGATATCAGATACGGTATTAAATTCTTAAAGGATGTACCGGTACGGATTTACTCCCACGATTCGCCGCTTCTAATTCCGTTTCGGATCTTATGTTTTATTTTGAGGTTTACGACTGTACCCTCTTAATATAACAAAACTCGTGAAACAAGCAATAAATATTTAAGGAAAAATTTGTTACGAATTTCCCAAGCGAGTCATTTTCGTCTCGATGGAAGAGTCAATCCGACATGGCTCAATAGCACGAGCAATAATATGAATTAAAATTCTAAAATGCATAAAATCCATCTTCGAATGCACTTTGGAGTTATTGGGATTCTAAAGAGGATTTGATAAATGCGATCATATCTCTCATACGTTCGTATGTTTTTGATGTATTCGTTCATATCCTCCGCGAACAAACGGAATCAATTTGCCGACATGTTCGAAACGAAACGAGACGAAAACGACATCGCTTACGAAATACGCGTGTGGCTTCGCGAAACGAAACTAACTTACGCTGACGTACGCGCTACGAATGTTTTTCGAATTTACGTTATTTGTTTTGTGTCCACCGAGTCAAAAAAAATTCATTCGATCCATGCAAGTTTGTTTATTCACGTTGCTTCATTGCACATATGCACTGCAGAGCTATACAGCTATGTCGATTTCCATGGAAAACATCCGTCATGCAACAAGCATTGTTCATTTTATTTTGTTTCGCTGCGCCACACACGAATGCTCACGATGTCCATTTTTTTTTTCGCGAAAACGAAAGGTGTGCACGGTACTCACGTCGTATCGCTCCTGGATGTGCGGCCCGGCTTGCGCGATGTACAGCGTGCTGGCGGTATCGAATACTAATTCCTGCGGGATCCTCGTAACCCTTTGTCGTGCCATCTCGTGGCAATTGAGATAGAGGGTGACATCGGTTGCGGATACCTTAATGACGATCTTCGACCATTTCTTTGTAAGCTTCGGTACGGTGAATTTCGCCACCTCTTCCGAATGTGAATGCTCGTCCGAGTTTGTGTAGACCAGTGAAACGTTCTGATTCGAGCCGGGTCCATCCTTCGAAGCATGATCACAAAAAACTCATGAATAATTTACTGTTAATAGATTTTAAGCATAGAGAATGATACAGACAAGATGGAGCAAAGCACATTTTTAAGAAAACTACAAAGTAAACTTGCCAAATTTTGCATACTTCAAATAAAACGTAACAATACTCTTCTCCAATTCTATGTGTTAAACAATAACGATACTACTTGAAAATATTCCGAGTATCGAAGCTTTCTGGAAACGTCCGAAGCATTCGAGGTTGCTTATTGTTCGGAACACGTACGTGACATGTTACGAGAATGGTTGCCCGAAAAGAGCGCGAGAGTAGAAGAAAATATAAGATCGAACGTGTAATGACATCATGGAAGGAATCGAAAAATAGAAGATAACGTTTAAAGATCACTATTTAAAAGGTAGTGCATTACATCGTAAAAATATAATTTATATTTTGTGAAAACAAAATATTAGAATCCTTTGGCATGAGTTTTTCCAATTAAATAAAAATAATGGTTCTATAAAACAGTTTTTTGTCTTCTCTTTATTTAAGTAAACCACAATTTTGCTTGTAATATCAATATGAGAAAAATTTTATTCGAGAAGTAATAAAAGAAAAATTCTTGTAGAAAATGGAAGATTATTATTATTATCAAGCACATTAAATTATCTTTCTTCCATTTGAATGATATTTATCCATTCATGAAATATATAATGTCATAAGAATATCGCGGTTACCTTGATAAAGTGCACTTAAAGAGCTAATAACCACCCAGCTGTTAAAGCGGATTCCTTCATGATTTAATGTGACGTCGTATTTCACGCCCATCCTCTCATTTCCGCGAGACATTTGCTTCTCAATCTCATACGCTATTATTTTCTCTAACATTATTCCCCGCTAGTTTAGCATGACCCACCCGTAATCTTCAATAAAGCCACATAACGTCCGCGAAAGGGAAATTTTGGAAAATTGCAAATAATTTGTCGCGGCTACGGGCATAGTTGAGAGAGGCAGGTATTATATGCAGCTTACCGAAATTCTAATACCCAATTGGACAACAGTTTCGAAGGGATTAAGAACGGCGAAGAGGTAGCTCGTTCTAAAGGAGGTCGGCTTGAATGTAGCCACTAGGGTGAACTCGGCCGGCAACTTTTCCGGAAGGTACATTCTGTAGGGCTGCTTCACCTCGGAACCGGGTCGAAAGCCAAACGCCGGAAATCCGTCCACGCCGTCGCCTATGTAAAAATTATTTTCGTCCGTCGTCGACATCGACGCCTCTAACAAATCGTATTCCATTTCTGAAAGCATAAACATCAATGATTTTCCATTAAATTGAGTTTAACTGCGGCAAAGGACTGTTAAATGTTGACGGTTTCAACAACTAATTAATCTAATGATGTTAAATTATTATTATAATGTTAAATTGAAATACTGCATAGATTGATAAATATATATATATATATAATGGAAGTTATTGTTTGACTACAAACACTGATCGAAAATAGATAAATTAGTACATATATAAATTAATGCTATATTAGCATTATTAACTCTCCGATTTGCGAAAAAATTGTTCTTGAAAGACAAAAAATATATTATATAGGGAAAAGATTTTTTATAGTTAATATATATCTTTTACAGTTAATATATTATATTATATATTATAATACAATATATCACAATAGAAAAATAATCCATATAGTGATTAGTCCATATTTTCAAATTAACGCATTTTTTACATATCTTATCGTATATTTTTTTAAATTAAAATTATAAATTCTTTAATACAAATAACAGAAAAATTGTTAGTTAAAAATGGAAAATTAACTCGCTCTATTAATTAATCTTATTATGAGAATTATTTTAATTTGCATAATCTGTGCTTGGATAAAAAGTTAACTGTATAGTATTTTTGTACAAATCAGCAAATATACACGTAGTAATACATTGTTTTCCATGTATTTTAGCGCGATTAGCTACGAGAGTCCAAGGAAAATGAGGTTAATTAAAGAAAGTGTGGAGAACGGGATATTTTGCGAAAAAGAGTTCCGTGAGCACTGGAGAAAACTACGGAGGAGTAGTTTGGAGCGCGCGCGAATGTAGAAACTTTAATTAATTTTTCGCGCGCTGGTTTTAAGAGTTGCGAGAGATTAGCGAATGATAATCCAATAAGATTATATCAGGAGGAAATTATTTAACGATTAATTCATCTAATTTGTAAGTTTATCGATTATACAAAATTATGACGTATTAAAGAATTTTACTATCAATTACAGTTCGTTTGCCAAAGAATAAAATCTTCAATCGCAAAAAATCTTAGAAAATATAAATAAAACTGACAAAAAAATTATGAAAAGATCGTTTTACTGTAAAAAAAACGATGTATGCTTTTTAAAAAAATTATTGCAATGTTGATGATTACGAAAAAAATACATTAATATAAATGATTTAATTTAAAAAAATACAATATACATTTATAGTTTTACTTTAATAATATTAAAATGTATAACAACAATTCATAATAGATATATTTTGCATTATGAAAATTTTAATAATGATGATTGTTGAATAAAAATATGGCAGAGTTTTAACACTACAAGGCACTACATTGTATGCATGTTAGTTCGTGTGCGTGGTATGATTAAGATCATAATTCTTTAATGTACGACAACACCATTTTGCTCGCCATGCGTCATGCTCCGATCCGTGACACCCGATACATCGCGTGATATTCCGCGGCTGAAAGCTCGATAACCGATATTTATTGTCGGGGACACGAGTCGCTGCAGTAAATCGCATTAAAAATCCTTCGGACGACCAGACGTCGACACGCTCGACTAGTCATTGCTAAAAGACGCTTCTTGTTGCACTAAATCAAACCTCATACTGTTAGCATTGGACAAATGATTCATTAGCAAATTCTAAAACATATCCAACAATTCCATTACTTTTGATATATATATATATATATGTATATGTATAAAGTTTCTTCTTGGTCACTACAAAAAACAAATGTTTCTCTCTTTTTTCGCAATATATTTGTCGATCAGTTTGTTTTTAAAAAAAATACCGAAACATTTGCATCAAAAACACATTTTGAAATAGTATTCTATAAAGGTAAAAAAAAAATACCGTAATATTTGACACATAGTGCTCGCTTCATATTTTATCTCACATATATTTTTCTATCATAAGCAGCTGCTCTAACAGGAAAATTCATGAGCTACCTAAAAATATCCGGCGAAAATACAGGTAACGGCATGTCGGCGAACAGTGTAAGTTAAATTATCGCCACGCCCGAGGTAATTTCCAAATTGCATTTGGCGTCATATTCTCATGTAACATATTCAGCTATGAAAGCTTTGAGTGCTCAACGAATTCTTTTCGTTGCTCAACAAATTTTGGTTCTAGTATCCAGGGTCTTCTTTGCAGATTACATTTTTTTTTGTAAATTACGATGGAGTAGCTTCTCCTGTGAAAAACGTAAATTAATTTTTTTATCTTTGAGAACCACAAAAATATTTTATTCACCCGGTACTTTCTATTTGCTTTAATGACAGAAACTATTTTTATACTAGCATTCAACACCAAAATAATTTGTACATTATTTATTAGTAACAAATTTTATATGATTATTACACATGGAGTATAAAAATATTTTATCACAGTCTTTTAAATATTTCTACACATTGATCTTTTACAATTTTTTGTTTGCAAGGACAAAATCAATGTCAAAATAATTATGCTTATTCGGAACTTTATTTATATATAACAAATTTTATATAATCACCGCACGCGTACGTAAAACATAAAGAGATATTAACTATTTTTCTTATCTCAAAGATGGATTTTACGCAATGCACTTTCTATCATTTTCCTACTCTTGAGATAGATTCTTAGATATATATTCGAAAAACACTTGCAACCATTATAGGGAAGATTTCAATGCTTGATGGATTGCAGCGTGGAATTGATATGCACGGTGATTCGAATGCCGGCATAAGAACCAACTAGATGACCTCCTACACCCGTATACGCTCCTAACGCGGATCTCTATTTCGCGTTGAAATTGCGATAGGCCCGAGTGATTTCGAAATCCAAACTAGGAAGAGTACGGTATATTAATTAGGAAAGAGCTGCGTAAATAATCAAAGTGTGAACCAGACTTAACAACCGAATGTATATATGCGAGTTTGCTTCTTTTAACATTTTAAAACAATCGCTACACGAATGTATGCATTTCTGCGGGTGCCTATTTGCAAAAAGTTAATGTTTTATTTTGTTGTGTTTAATTTATTTCCGAATTAGTTATTAATTTCCTTATTTTCTCGCGTTAAATGTGACAAATTTAATCTGTATATCTTGTAAAAAAATTTATATATATCTCTATTAAATTTTGCGCTATCGCAAATATGAGATTTATTATTAATAACTAGTTTCGGATATTATCACGTTATGGAAATTACAGATGAGATTTCACGACGATATCTACGTTTTATAATAACCATATATTAAAAGTGCTACTATCAGTTTTTCGTCGCATGATAAACGATCGATACAAAATAAAATAAAATAATAAATTATTGCGTTTGCAGACCATGCAGACGTATCGGTGGTAAAAATCAAAATGAGGTTTATCGCTTATCGATTGTATTCCATTTCAATGAAATCAAGTTCATTTTGTCTCGGTGATGAGAGTGCTCTAAATACAATTTAATATGAAAATAGTTTTAAATTTTGTAGAAGCTTGATAATATACGGGCAGCGCGTGCGAGGCTACTATACTTTTCGCGGAGGGTAATTAGATAATAAACACGAGGTCGTGCTTATTAACGCGCGAAAAAATGATTATGAGTTATTAATAGTAGTATGCATAATATACGATTTCACACAAGTCCGCTCCACCGTAATCCTTGTTTCCTTCGTATTCCGTGCAAATCCATTTGCATAAATCCGTATGCCAATTTGCCGTGTCAGCTTGTTACAATTCTCTCAATACGCATACAGGAATCCATCTCGCAATTCGAACAAACGTTGAATGTTTCAATATGAGGCGAGATGTAAATGTCTTCTTTAAGCTCTCAGTGTTTCGTGGTCGCTTTCTCTATATGTTTCCACGCTGTCATATGACCTTCTTTATTCTTCGATATTATAGTTTTTCATATTAGTTTTGTTTTTTAAATAGTAGCTTATAATTTTATTTTATCGTCATTTTTATGACACTCGTAAGTGCATGATATAAAAATCAACGCGTACAAAAAATACGAGCATGTTTGTACAAAACTGCTTTCACAGCTACAATTATCGTCAATTCGCGTAACATTATTCGAAAAAAATTGTCCAATATGAGAAACGAGATACTGCACTGAACTGAGTACATATATAGGTATCATCGTCCTTATTGCGAAGCCCAGTCGGTTTCCCTGTGAACGAAACGTGAGAACGACGTCTCGGGAGAGGTTGTTCTTACATTCCAGCAAGTTTCCTGATCTCCCTCTGGAGACCGCGCTTCTTTCTAGTTTGGTGACGCAATTCTGCGAATTTTACGAGTGATTTATTTCCAGTGCGCTCATCTCATATTTTTGCATCACGTATTTTAATTCAAAAGAGAAAGTCCTAGACAGTAAATACATTAATATATATTTATTATAGCGAGTGGAATGAGCACTTTCTATAAAAACTGTCTGAAGTATATAAAAGAACTACATGGAGATTGCTTGATTTAAAATATAATGTTTTACAAACGATATTAATATCTGTAGTTTAAATATTAATAAAAGTGTAATAACTAAAAGTGTCGAAAGAAGCTGAATATATTATTAAGCAAGTTTTCTCTGCAATTAATAAATTCTACGATGCCATTTGATAGCAGTTAAGTTGAAATATTTAATTACATTACTTATATATTATATATTTGATATAATTGGTATGATATTTGTTATTGGAAGCAGATATCAGTGACATTATTGACACGTGGAAGCAATTAATGCGTTACATTTGCAACATATAATATCCTTTCATAAGCTGCATGTATAATTAATTAAAGATAACTTTTTGCCAGCTGTTCTACATTGTAGAGTTATAAAAATTAAAGTTTTACGTAATAATAAAAAAGAATCTTGGTTAAACAAAATAGTCATATCAGAAATAAAAACAAAAAAAAAACATTTAGAGTCATAGTAATAAAATTAACAAAATCGCAACAATAATAATATGAATAACAAAGTTTTCAAAAAATGTTTACATTTATATTTTTATACTCTTCGCTGTATCATTACATAAATTTTATGTATTTCTG